GCTTGCTTGGGGATATTGAAAATGAAAATAGCGTAACAAAATCCTCTACTTAGACATCCATATAATCATATCCAACTTGAATATCATTGTCAAAATCTCAGCCAGACTAAAATATGGAGAGCATGCTGTACTAGTTCGAAGTAAGACAAAATCAATCAACAGAACTCTTAAATACCAGAACCAAAACAAAAGTTCAGAACCCTTCACTCAAGCACCAATCACTTCTGCAGGTGCCTCGGCCATTGTCTCCTCTGCTGGCCTATCCAATTTCACACCAACATCTTCTGAATAATCCCCATGAACCTACAAACAATACCAGTGTAAAGACTTAGATCCAGGAACAAGTCAATACAAGGCCTGAAACCCATATGTAATAGGCATTGATACAGAAATATCCTAGCATTTCAGTTTAAATGTGAGAAAGCCACAAAGGCAGATAAAGGGGCTATAGTAGACTTGCCTCCATGAGCTTTCCAAGATCAAACTTTGGGGCCTTCAAGATCTTGACTTTCCGGATAAAAACATTTTGCAAAGGATAAATGCCTGAGGTTGCCTTCTCAATCTCTTTACCAATGGCCTCAGGGATGAACTTCTGAACTAAATCTTTCAGATCACAAGAAGTTGCCTGGGCAACCATGATATCCCTCATTTTCCGACGAATCTGATAAAAGAAAAGCAACTCTTGTGATACATGCTAACTTGTTCAATATACTTTAACCTAACGCTACAAAATATAATCTACTATCAGAAAATCACACGCAAATGATCCTAGAAACATTTCTTACATTTAAAATCTCAAAGAAAAAAAAGATTAAAGAAACTTCCCCACGCACCAGAAACAAACAGGAGATAATTCAGACATTCTGCCAAGAAAAAAAATTAAAAAGGCCACAGATCTAAATTTAAATTTTTAAGAGCAAAAACTCAACTGTTTTTGAACTCCTACACATATTACTACAACCTTTGGGGAGGGGGGTGGAAACTAGCAACAACTATTCACCTGTCTTATCTGGCTGGACTGCGCGTAGCAGGTCCTCTTAACCTGGTTTGGGCGTCTCTTAGTGAAACCAATGCAGAACATCCTCAAGGTGTAGTTGTCAGTTGTTTTCACATCCACATGTGCTTCAATCAGTGTTTGCCATTTTCGAACCAAGGACCTCAACTTATCAGTAGTAAAATCCATTCCCTATATGTTCATAAGAAAGGATCAGAGTTGTTCAATTATCATTTGACACTTTAATTAATGAGCAATTGTGAAAATAAAACCAAAATCCGTTCATCTATCATACCCAGAAATTTGTCAAGACATTTCTCCCTTGAACATCTTCAGCTCTCAATCTGATCTTCCTGTAAGCATGGTCCTCATCCCCTTGGAGGTCTGCCAGTGAAATCTCAAACACTCTATGTTTGAGACCTTCAGAAGCAATCTGTTAAAAACCATGAAAGAAGATTTAAGGCATCAAAATATCCTATATGCATCTCATGCAGACTTAAAACTTTTTATAAACTGATATGTAATTGCATGAAAGACAAAAGAAGGTACCAACAAGAATCCTTCTCAAATGGTCAAAAAAAGAGAACAGTGGGGGCATAGAAAAAGTGCTTTTGCATGGCGAACCCAATGAAACAAATTGTCAAAACTCACAAAATATTCTCCAAGCCATACAAAAGAAATAACTAACAAGAGCCAGAACCAAACTCATATAACGAAAAGAAAAAATAATAGAGAAATCTAATCGTAATATATTTTAAGATTAAGGAAAGAAACATTACTCCCTTGCACAAAAAAATCAAAATATGATCCAGATTCGGAACCAATATAAATGGATAGGCCATTCCAATAAATTTAGTCTTTTCTAGTAAATTGGAGGAATTGGAGAATCTGGGAAACAATTTTGCCTTCATCGTTTTCAATAGAAAGATGAAAGACTTATGTAAAAACCAATAAATTAAAATTTACTGAATGCATCTGGTTGTTCAAGTAGCTTTAGATACAAGGAAAGAAGGCGGTAGTAAGTAAATACAAGCATTTAACAATTGAGACACAAAAGGAAGTTGAAGTACATTTTTCATTCCCCTAAACATGAAACAGTGCTTTAAAATAAAATTCTTAATTTTCCCTCAGCAGTAATTGAACATATTGGATAATATATGAAGTAAAGGAACCTGATTTAACTAATAGAAACTTGTATATTTAAGCACGTTGTCTACAATATAATACGGGAAAAAACACAGAGTAAAGCAAAACAGCCCTTGGCTTAAAAAACAGTCTTTCA